ACCTCACTGACAGCTACAGCGATCACCCCTTTTTTGTGGATGAGGCAGAGTTGGGACCAGCAGGTGGCATAATGGCTATGCCGCTGGGCTCCCATGCAGTCGACCACAGTTCCAGTCCTGGACCCGGTGGCTTAAACTCACACCAGGCATGTGTGTGTGCGTGCCCAAGATCTCGAGAGGAGAAGGGATTACGGTGTGGCCATCCCACCTGGGCATGATTTCTCACTTTCTGTCTCCCTATCTCTCTCCGTCTTTCTGGCAAGTGCATGCGCTCTATAGCAAAAACCCTCTCCAAAAAAAGAAAAAAAAAGAGAATGACGTGGAGTGTGTGCCTAAGGTCACCGTGCCAGGAAGCAGAGGCCTAAGCCCACGGCCCAGAGGCCATCCCTTTACCACTGAGTGCTGCAGGAGCTTCTAGGAACATTCTTTCTTTCAAATTTTCCTCCATGAAGGGCCAGCAGGTGGCATGGTGGTTAAGGCTCTGGACTCCCACACGGTCGACCACAGCTCAAGTCTCAGACCCAGCGGCTTGGAAAATCACACTGGGCATGTGTGTATGAATGCCCAAAATCCCAAGAAGAAAATGGAGGAAAAGGGATTACAGTGTGGCCATAGCCCCTGGGTAGTGATTTCTTGCTTTCCCTCTGTCTGTGTCTCTGTCCAGTGAGCGCACGTGCCTTATGACAACACTCCCCCCCCCAAAAAAAAATGTCCTCCGTGGGTGGAAGGTGAGATAGATAGTAAGACAGAGAACCCCTGACAGGGTCTTGATGGCCGCTGAGCCTCACACACAGGCCCAGTGTGCTCGGGAGGCCTCCAGGTGCCAACCTAGAACCATCCCACGTGGGCCAGCCTCACAGAGCACGCAGTTTCCAGCCACACCACCATCTGGCCCCCATGGCCGCTGCATGGAAAGACATGTCAAGTGCGTTCCATAGTCTTACTTGCTCCTCACAGGATCCCATGAGGAAGGGCTCTATTAGTCCCACACCACAGAGGAGGAAACTGAGCCCAAGGGTTAGTGATCTGCCTGTGGTCGCAAGATGGCCAGTGGCTTGTTAGCTGGTGCTCAGAACTGCCACCTTCAAGGGCCTGGAAGGAAGCTCTGTAGCTGCACGGGGCCCTGGGCTGGTTCTGTCACCAAGCAGGGGTGGGGGGTGACACAGCCAGGGCCCAGCATAGACTTTACCCTCCCTGTGAACACTGGGGCAGCCCAGGTCCACTCAGTCGCTGCCCGGCACCAGCTGTGCTGCGCTCAGGCTGCAGGGACGGCCCATCCTCTCCTACTCTATGAGGGGACCTTTTGGAGAGACAGAGAAAGTGCATGTGTGTGTGCACACAACCCATGGTGAGTGACGTGCTATCATCTCTTCTCCACGCACACTCCCACGGCGTTTTTCAAGCTGCTAGGTCTGGGACTTGAACTGCACGGTCATGTGGATCCAACCACTTTACCCACTATGCCACAGGCTGGTCCCATTGTATTCCTTTTCTAACTCACCACCTGGGCCCCAGGGCCTCAAGCTCAGGCTCCGGACTCTACAGGATGCTCCAAGAAACACCAAGGAAGACCCTGCTGGCTGCTGCTTGGCCTCTTCCACATGCCAGAGCCCACCCCTCTAGCTCTGCCCCTGCACCCCTGCCCTTCCTCAAGAACCTCGTTAGCTGAACTCCACCAGCAGTCTGCACTCTTGCTTGGCTCACTCCTGTTTCAGCTGGAGCCTCAGTTCCACTTTACTCCACGTAATGGTGAATCTTGGGACCAGTAGGTGACATGGTAGTTAAGGTGCTGAACTCCCACATGGCCAACTCCATGGTTCAAGTCCCGGACCCAGCAGCTTGAAACTCACACTGGGCACGTTTGCAAGCATGCCTAAAATCCCAAGAGGAGAATGGAGGAGAAGGGATTGCAGCATGGCCATCAGCCCTGGGGAGTAATTTCTGATTTTCCCTCTCTCTGTTTCTCTCTCTCTCTCCAGCAAGCACAAGTGTCCTACGGCAAAAAAGTCTATTAAAAAAAGCAAATCTGTTGGAAGTTCCCACCTATTCTGGGAGGAACCACTTGTGCTTCTCATCAATTCTCCTGGTCTGGGTAGTAAAGACTCAGCTTCATCCAAAGACACCACTGGCCTTGTCCTGGCTCCTGGGAGGTCCAACTAGCTGTGAATCATGAATTTAGCTGGTCATTGTCACCAGTTATTCCTGATGGGTCCTGATAGCTTCTGCTAGTAGAGTCACTCATGGGGGGGGGCAGATAGTTTCTGCTAAAAGGATGACTTGGGACGGGTCTGGTCATGCCTCTCAGTTCCTGTGATGTCAGCCTGGCCCCCAGAGAGGATCTGGAAGATGAGCTCAGCTGAGTGGTCAACGATTTGGTCACTACACCATGGCGAGCCTCCCTCTGCATTGCACCCCACATCGAGGTGCTGGGCGGGGCCATCCTCTGACTCCCAGGAGACACAACGGAAGCTTCGTGTTTAGGGCTCGCCCAGGCCACGCCCTCTGTCTCTTCTTCTGGCTGGTTTTGGAAAAGTCATGACATATTCCTCTATTTTTCTATGCAAAAATGTGCCATGAGTTTTCCAATGACCCAATATAAAGATATATCATTTTTGGGGAAGTTTATTTATTTATTCCATGAGTGAGACAGAGAGAAAAACAGCCAGGACCCAACCCCAGCTCCAGCCAGCCCTAGTTCATGGGCCAGGACACCCTGGGAGGTCTCCAGACGCAAACCTGGAACATCCCGTGTGGTCGCCTGGTCGTTTAAACGCCGTGTCCCTAGCTGGTTCCGACGCATACCCTCTGACTGTAAGAAAAGTGCAGCCTTCGGTACAGCGCCCTGCTGAGTTCTGTGCGTCATTCCAGCAAGTTGTTGAACTGAGGGGGCAGCGGGAACGTCCACATTTGTAGTGTTTGTCAGAAGTAAGAGTGGGCCAGGGACCTGAAATGGGCTGGTGCCCGAAGGCAGGGCAGTCTCCCAGAGGGCTGTGCCCTCGGCCTGTGATGTTTGGCTCAACTCCAGGGAGCGGGCGCGGGAACACCCCGTGAGCTCACCAGCCTCATCTCAGCCCAGTGGAAGGATCTGGCGTAAGGACCTTCCTGGTACAATGACCACATTCTGTCCTCCACGGAGCTCACGACATGTGCCAAGAGCCATGGCTGTACACCGCGGTGGACTACGGAGACTTAGCGGAGAAGGACACCCTGCCATTTGCAACTGCGTGGATGAACTGGAGGACATGATGCCGAGGGGAATGAGCCAGACACAGAAAGACAAGTATCGCGTGATCGTTGACGAGGATCTCAAGATGCTACACTCAGAGAAGTGGAGTGGAGTGGCGGTCACCAGGAGGAGGGGGATGGGAAGCTGTTGGTTAAAGTACACAAACCGTCAGAGAGGAGGGGGGGCCACGGTGCGAGACGGGGACTGCGGTTAATCACGATGCACCATCTACTTAAAAACCACTCGCTTTTAAGCATTCCCGCACAGGTAAACGAGCAGTACGTGCAGTAATGCATGTGGGAGTCAGTGTGACTTTACCAGCCCACAGTTAACAAACTCCCAAACATGATGTTGTAAACCATGAACATACACTTGTCTTTTTAAAGAGAGTTTTGCTGTAGGACATGTGTGCTTGCCAGAGAGACAGAAAGTGAGAAATCACCCCCCAGGGGAAATGCCACCTCACAATCCTTCTCCTCCTCCATTCTCCGGGATTTGGGGCATGCACGGGGCTCCAACTGTGGTCGACTAGGTGGGAGTCCAGCAACGTAACCATTACACCATCTGCTGGTTACAATACATACCATTTTGATTTGTCAATTAAAGAAATAAAAATAATAGGGGGAAAAAGGTCCGAAACACAGGAACCGTCTTAACCAACATTTCTATGGGATCAGAGGGAAGGAGTAGGGAGGTCAGAAACAAAGGGATGGGAACTGGAGAGGGAAGACCCCAGGAGGACAGAGCAATGGGGACACCAGGGCCCCGGGTCCCTTCCTCCAGAGGTGGGGGAGAGTTGTGAGGGAGATGGGGACACAGAGCCCCAGGCATCTGAGCAAATGGTGGGGTGAGGCGGTGGGCTGGGGTGGCTGCTGGCTTTTTGCTTTCCATAGGAGGAGGAGGCCACAGGTGTCCGAGTCCACATGAATTCGATGAAAACAGCAGGTGGGTGGTGGGGCCCTGACAGAGGGGGTGCTGTGTAAATTGGTGAGATTGTGACTTTTGCCTAATTCGCTGAGGATGTGTTTAAATTCCATTTTTAAAGCAATCAGTCCTAAAACCTCAGGATAGACACACCTTGCCCAGGGCCTCCTTCTTGGAAGAGACTCTAGTGACCTGCTGGGACCCAGACTAGGCCCCACCTGGTGCTACCTGACCTTCTAGACTGGACAAGGAGGGCCAGCACGCCTCAGCGCCGGGACAGGAGCGAGCGTGCCCACTGTTCTCCTTCACCAGGTGAACAGCCCAGATCAGCTTTTCCACGGCAGGAGTTTCCAGGCTGTCACGCATACTTGGAAGAAGCCAGGGTGAGACACTACTCAAGTCACACTTTCTTGATATTACTCTATCTTTCCCCAGGAGGACTGCACTCAACAAACTCGGACACCTGTGGCCTCCTCCTCCTATGGAAAGCAAAAAGCCAGCAGCCACCCCAAGCTGATAAGATTAATCTACAGAGCAAATCATGGTGTAATTTCCTATTCTGAAACTTTGTAGTTAATTTTAAAAAAGGGTTTCATTTTCCTATTGGTCTGATTTCACAGGAACATTTTACCTGTTTCTGTGAGGCATTTTTGTCTCCTGGAAGAAAGGCTCTGATTGGCCCCCAACAACTGACAATCTGGTGTAATGAAAATTTCCAGTGTAAACTCATTTTCCCTCCGTTTCAGCAATTTTAAATCTATATATAGAGATATCTTTGTCAGAAATGCATCGTTAGCGTCCCCTGATAAACTAATTGTCTCACGTTGTCACTGCAAAGAGAGATCTATTAATGGGTCTCGTCTCCCGACTGATGCCCGCCCTGCTCTGCCTGCTGGCGTGTGCCAGCCACTCTGTCCACAGACGCAGATGCGATAAGGCCTTAGTAGAGATCATCAAAACTCTGAACATCCTCACAGCGAGCAAGGTGAGCACGCTATCTGGCACCATCTCTTCCTATCTTTTGGTGAGGCTGTGGGTATTGATAGACCATGAGAAGAATGTGATGGCTAGGGACGCTGCAGCTGGTGGCTGGTGGCAGGACAGGAGCTTAGCAAGACACCCCTCGTGCCATTCTCTTGTCTGAGAGGTTGGAGGAAGCTCTCCCAGTCTGAGGGAGAGAGAGGAGCTCAAAGAGGGTTTCTCCATCCACTTGGAGGTTAACTCTTGTCTCTTCCTTTCTCGTTTCTGCCTGGGCCAAGACTCTGTGCACCGAGGTGACCGTAGCAGACATCTTTGCCGCATCCAAGGTAAGACGCTGTCCCGTGGTTGCTGTGGCAGGTGGGTGGCTGGGGAGAGAGCCATCCACAAATATCTGATTGAGAGACTTCTTTCATGGGAATGAGCAGGCCCCAGGGAACCACAGACATTAGATAGTTTCAAAGAATGAGAATTCTGATCTTTGACTCTTAAGTTTTGGTGTTTCCGGTTTCACTTGATTGAAAAAATGCGTAATAAAAAGTTTGGATGCTGTAAGCCTAACTCAGGTTGTGGCCTGGGAAGAGCTCTTCAGGGTTTTACGCAGCCTTGGCATCAGCCCCGGAACATGGAAGAGACTCCATACGTGCCTGGTGAATCAGAGAAGTTTTTTGGCCCATACATTTCGGAAAAACCAAACACTCTCACAAAAACAGATATTGAGATTACAGGTAGAAGGAGCTTTCATTTTGTCTAAGAGACTTCCTATGGCAACAGAACGGTGTCTCCAGAGTCCCTCTTCCACAGCCTGGTCACTGCAGACCACTGCGTTCGGGGGCTGGGAGTCTGGAGACCCCCAGCTTGCTCTGCCCTTCTGCCCTTCCAGACTCCATGCCATCCTGGCCCAGCGCGGTCCTGCTTCGGTGTCCTGCCCCACACATCCCTGCTTCTGGCCTCTGCCTCCCGCGCTCTCACCCCCGCCCCTCTGTGCAGTGGGAGGAGATAGATTTGACAGCTGATAGTGCATTTTCTCTGACAAACACATGACAACTGCCAGATCGATAGCTTTGTGCACTTCAGTTCCTGTTTTCATGGAAACACACAACTGAGAATGAAAGTCCCAAAGCTTCGATGTACCAGTGGTCTCCGAATTACCTGCTTTCCACGGGCACTAGAGAGGGTGACTTGGCCGGGAGAGAAGCCCTTGCATCGGGCGGGTCACGTCTCAGCGCTCGGGCCATAACCAAGGCCCGTCCTGTTCAGGAGGAAGGTCCTGTCCTGCGTGTATCTGAGCTGCCTTGCTTCATTAAAGATTATTCTAGATGTTTGATAAAAGATGAAGATGAGATTTTGAAGGGCAAGGTATATCTAAAATCTATCTCCATGTCCTCCCAACCCAGACAGTACCTCCCACCGCCTGTGCTCTGGGTCCTGCCGAGGCCACCGCACCGCTGAGGCCTACCAAGGCCTCAGGAAGGGGCCGGCACTGGGAACCAGCCCCGGGGAAAGGGCCGACGGTCTGCAAGCGAGACAGCCTGTGGGCCTCGGCCCTAGTGATGACATTAGTTAGCGGCCCGGCCCCTGCAAGTCTCCTTCACTCCGCTTTGTGCCTGTTTCCACATGTGAGAACATGAAAGTTACCTTGGCAGTTGGTTGGAACCTGCCTTTGAGTTCATGGCAAGTGTTATTGCAAGATGACGTGTCCCTGATTACAGAGGCTGACGGCAGAGACACAATGCGTGGAAGGAGAGGCCAGTGGTTGGGAACTCTCACACTCCATGACTCCACACCTGGGGGGACCCCCGCACCTTACCCTCCCGTTACTGGCTTGTCTTTCCTCCACTCTCACGCCGCTCCCTCACCACACAC